GGAAAGTAATAAACTTGGCAATCATCTTGAAGTCAGAGACTTGCCTGCTAAACATCACCAGAAGAGCATCCATTTCTAAATAACATCGACCTGAAAAAAAAAAATCAACACCCCAGCTGCCTGGACCCGCAGGTGTTTTGTTTGAGACGTGCCACGGCTGAGCACGCCGTGGGCTGCTTGGGCTCCGCACAACTGGGAAAGCTCTTCCACAGGGATTGCGCAGCCCAGCATTTATGCGAGCAACAGACATCTGCGGCGCAGCCACCCAAACGCACGCACAATATCAGCACGAGCCCGTAATTCCCAACACGGCAAGGATGCCAGCTCCCACATCTCTGCAGCTTTGCGCTTATTTCCAGCATCGGCGTTCCTGAAAGAGGGGCTGGAGAGAGAAAGAGAACAAAACCCCAACCGCGCTCCGGAGCACTGGGCTCGTCTCAAAAGCCATTGCCGCTCCGAAGCGGCATCCTTGCAATGGACGCTGGAAGCAGCTCTTTAAAATTCAGCAGCCTTTGTGCCTGACCACACGCAGCGACCTCTGGTATTTTCTGCCAAAACAGTTCATTTGTCTCGCACAACAACTAATCAATTCCCGAGGCCATCCATCACGGGGGCTCACACGAGCCGGCCCGGCAGCGGGGCCAGATGGCGGCTGCGTTAGTGGGATTAATACAATTCTGATAGATTACACAGCATCAGGCGGGTTCCTGAGTATGAGGGGTGCCTGCTCCGCGCCCCGATCCTAAACAGAGCCCAGGGTCACTCCCCAGTATTACGGGAGAAGGTGGAAGTTTCTACCAGAAAAGCACTTCTTCAGCACCCTTCAGGATGGCAAAAGTGTAAAGCGCGGCTCAGAGAGGCCTCCGTGCCGACCAGCGGATGTCATTCCCATGCCGGCATGCTGAGGCCACGTGGAAGCAGCCCGTGGCAGAGCACAGGAGGGCTCCTCCAGTGGAAGTGGAAAGGGACATGGGCATTTGGCAAAATTATTTCACATTCTCCATCTGCCAAGTCAATGCTTTTGTTTGCTGGAAATGCTTGTAAACTGCCTCCCCCTTGCCTCCATTTGAAAAGAAAAAAAATTGAATAACAACTTTAAAGTTGGATTTCTAATGCTGCAGTATTTTTGGCATCTCCCTCAGTTTGTGTCTTAGATTAGATTTATATTGGTGGCACATCAGTCAACCTCATCTCACTGCTATTTCCCAGGTTTGTGAAACTGTAATTATAGCTATTTGATCATGAAAGAGCTCAACTACTACTGCTTTTGTTCTGGTAATAAGACCAGAAAAGAGACATAAAGCTTTACGTAGCAGTTAAAAAAAACAAACAAAAAACCCCCACCACTATACCCAGCCTGAAATCATGGATAATTTCTAAATCCTTCTTTCTAGGGGAACCTCCAAGTCCCATCATCAGTCACCAGCAGGCATTATTTTTAGGTAATGCCTGAAGTGAGATAAGTGATTTGCAGAGAAACACAGAGGCAGAGCACTATGCTAATACATTCTGCAACTGCTCCCCATTAGTCACTGGGGGTACTTGAGCTCTTTATTGCCAAGGTTTATTAATGACTCCTAATTGATGACCAGTGCCCAGCATCCCAAAGTAAATAACTACTACGCCTCATTAGCTCAAGAGACCTTCTCCTGATTTGAGGATTGATCTATGAACACACAAATTGCACTGATTTAACCGAATCTCTTTCTAAATTGATTTAATTAGATCAGTATAACCTGTTTCTATGGATGTTCTTGAATTTATTTGTAATCAGTGCAATGTACTTCTGTGAGCCAGACTGACTATTTTTCTGTCTTGTTCTCAAAGCTGAAACATTTGAGATAATTAGCGATAAGGCAAAATCAGCCCTGGCACCATCTCAGTTCCTCCTACTGCTGATCCATCTGACTTCAGGGTAGAGTATGATAACTCCACTTTGACCAACATTTACAGCTTTGCACCCTAAAACCCAAGCATTTCATTCCACAAAAGGAATGTACGCATTATTTATGCATAGTTTTAGACACTCAGTTTGAAAGCAATGGCATCGCTGCTTTGCTTACTAATTTACTGCTGATGGTAAACTAGTGGCTTACACTAGTTAAAACAAGATCTCTCATCTTCCTGTTACATAGCAGCAGCTTGGAGGAGGTTAATCGTTTGATAAACTGTTCAAAAGGTTCTGGTAAGAATAAAATAAGTGAACCTGCTTAAGTGAACCTTCAAAACTCTGTGCTTGCATTCTTGTCTATCTCCTGGTTCAAGGCGAGGTTGTGGCGATGCTGGGCTCCAGATAAATTAGCCAGCCTTTTCCTGCCTTTGCATCAGCGGAATCCTAAAGGGCATACGGTAGGCTGTGTTTGGCAGATTAACGCCTGCTGAGAAATTGCTTTCAGCAGTCTGTCAGAACCCAGGGCTGATGAGGACTTCAGTTTTAGTTTTTAGTACACAAAATAAGTGTTTTCGTTGGTTTGTTTTTTTGTTTTTTTTTTTTACTTATTCTGAGCTTCCTTAATATGATTCTGTAACTAGAAAATATTTGTCCTATCAACAGCCGTGGGAAACAGAGACTCAAGTAGTTTGATTTATATTCCAATTTTTGCAAGCTGCTTGTAAAGCTTCAGTAGGCCCACCATAGACACTCAAGTCAATAAAACAGTCTGCATCAAAGTTTCTTTTCTCAGATCTTAGGTTTTGAGGTAGCATACACATACACACTGAACTTACAGCATGGGACTTACCCGTAACTATCAACGTGTTAAAGTTTATGCTGGCTCAAGCTATGAAGTTTTCTTTCCCCTTAAACGTCTTCATGTTCTCCCTCTACAGAAAATGCCTTACTTTAAGACTACATTCTATTTGTAAATGCACTGAAGCATTACTGAATGGTAACCTTATGTTCTTGTGAGTAACCACTCACAGCCTCAGAAGAGTCCCCCTTCTCAGGTGAGAGGTATTACTATCAGACCAATTCGCTCCATGCTGTAGATAAACTTGGATGTCAAACAATGCCTAAAGCCACCCTTCCTTGGCCCATCTGTTTGCAGATTTGCTACCAGGGCAATTTTGCTGTTTAGGGCTGTGCTTCTACTATTATAATAATCAGCATTAGAGATGTACCTACACTTGCACACATTTATTCCCTGTTCCAGTAAGAGAATGAATAGTAGGCAAAAGCCTTAATACATGGGCAACTCCACCGAGGAAGTCCAAGCTCTACAACCTGCACGTGGGTGGGATTATGATGACACTTGCTCACTTCCCAGCTTGCAACTGAAGACACTGATGCCTGCAAGCCAAGCTGTGCTAATGGACCACACAAATTTCCATTCTGCCAAGAAACTTCATCTAACTCACTTTCAGCAGAATCAGGCTATTGCAGCTGTGTCAGAGCCTACATTTGCCTACAGCCTCGTTTTGTAAGGACTACAGCTGTGCTATACTAAACATACAGCACCTATGTTCCTCATGGTATGTTTGGAAAAAAAAAAATGTATTTGGAGCTGTACTTATCTTCAAGTCATGTTCTCATGGAACTAAAACCAAAAATACAACAAGAAGATTTACACTAGTCAAGCCAACCAGAGCGTACTGTTTTCCTGATCACTGTGCTGTAATTCACATCCAAGCAAGGGCACAGGCAGTACTTGGGATAGCCAAGACTCTGAAAGCACTGAAGAACTAAGCATAGCTCATACTTAGCACCCAACACTGGGCAGCACTGATATGTTCCACTCCTGAAAGAAGAGCTCGAATAGGACTTAAATCACAAGGTCAAACTATGAGATCAAGTATGTCGGCTGAGACCTATGTTGACAGAGCAAGGAAGAAAAAGGAGCTTGCGGCTAGCAGAAGCGCTATTCCTCAAGCAGTGTGTAAGCCAAGGTCATACCTGCCCACCTCTGGTCAAGGTCCAGGGGTAAGTTAAAGACACGTCAGCTCTCCAGGCCAGGCAGACAAGGCTGTTCCTCTTCCATCTCACTATAAAGCAGATTGCAACACTGAGGGAAGAGCCCACGCTACTGCCGAGCACAAAACAGCTGTATCAATTTCTACCTGAGCTCCTTGCAAAGGGTTTGGAGCCACCTGCTCAAGATTTATTTTTCATTAGTTTGTGACAAGAAGTCAAAGAAATGCTGTGTTAGAGTTTTAACGCTTTGGGAAAGTTCTCAGCAAGCTTGGAAGGCTGTGTGTAGAGAAATCAGTGTTTATCTTTTAATTTCCTGGGACTAAAATGATGCAAGACATTCAATAAAACAAATGAGATCACATGTACATAAACGGGTGACTGCAACATGACAGCAAACACTGCTCAAAAATGTAGTCTTCCTTGACTGTTCATTTTAACTAAAAATATGATGCTGTATCCTGAAAAATCCTCCAGGCAATCATCTAGGTATTAGAGTTAATATTATACCCATGATTAGTAGTCTGGAACAGTAAAAAACCAACCAAACAAAAAAAACCCCAGCTGTCCTTATTCAGTAGCTAATGTCACTTACTACTTGTACCTTGACAGTTTTTAAATAGCAGCCATTCTAGTTCAGTAAATGTGTTTCTGCTATGCTAGCTGCAGAAGCTAGAAAAAATTAATTTGATATAAGGTACAAACTCTCCCTGAAGGCAAACATTGTCCAACATTAAAACCTTCACTGAACAATCCTTAATGAATGTATTGGTAAAGGAATAACTATTTTAAAAAGGTAGTGTCTGAATAGCTTTCTATTAAAAATATCCAATATTACCTTTTTTTAGCCATATAACTGAAAAATGGGAAGCCTCGCCCTTCCCCCACATCTTGCGCTAGGGAAAGGTTACTACCTGGCAATGATACAGGGAGTTATTGATTTAAATGATTATGGACCTGAAAAGTTCTTTCCTGTCATTTATTATCCTGTTGCAGTTGCCACCACACTTGTGCAATATTAAAAAAAAAAAAGCTTAACAAAACGACATTAGAAAAACACTGTTTTCAATTGAAGTCCAGTGCAGATAATCACCTGATTGTTTCTTCTTGATATAATGAGCTGACAACTGGGCCTCCAAATGCAGTTTTGCTTTCCTTTCCCCTCTTCTCTGTCGTCTGAAAGAAAAAACAAAGATTCATTCAGCATCCTGGCTCCCATCCTGTTCCACCCCTCCGCCACCTCCCACCTCTTCCCCTGCCCCAGAGATGGGATCAGCCTTCTGGAAGCCTCATCTTCACGGCAGACGGTACCCCACGACCCTACTCCATCCAGAACAGCTGGATGGATCTCTCAGCAAACTGGATCAATGCTCCTCCAAAGGTGGCCCAGAGGGGCCACCCGAAAGGTAGGCTTGGTAGCCTCGCCATCCCGCTCACAACGAGCCAAAGCATTGCCTCCGCAGCACTCCCAGCCATGGTCCCTTAGGACCCAAAAGCCGAGCCTCTGTGAGGTAGCATAATGTTATGTTACTAGATTGCAAAGCTTGCCTTTATAAATCTATTTAATATAGATTTAAAATTAAATTTTATAATGGGCAGCATTTCCAAATGATTTACTCCCAGGAACTCTAGGATTCTGAATGATTCCCACCACAATAGAAATGAACAATTAGAATAATGATTGATCGATATGGAGTCTCAGGCCTACCTTTTCAAAAAAACATCCTGCAGCTTGGGATCATCAATTGGTTGACTTTACATTGATGCCAGACTTTCAGAAAGGGGTAAGTGCCTGCTGGCTGAAAGCCTGACCCTATTAGGGGGTCCAGGGCACCAGAAATCCTAACTCTTCCAGGGCATCTAATATCTCGGTCTTCAGGTAAGCAGTCAAAACTGGTTTGCAATTTGCAGCAGTAATTCCTCATAAAATCATCCCATTAATTGCAATGGGCTGTTGTCAGCGGACAGTTCCGTGGCTTTTTCGTGATGAGAGATTATCACACCCAGGGTGAATAAAATCAGAAGCAAAGGGAAAGCCATCCCAGTCTCTAGCAGTCTCTCAGCAGCTGCAACACGTTGCTGATTACACCAAAAAGCATTGCTGCCTCATCAGAATTCTACCTAGAAAGAGGTTGATTTTTAATTATTTTTTTTTTTTAAATAAAACATGCTTACATTTGTCTTTCTTCCTGCTCCCTAGGGTGCTTTTGTTTTAAATCAATTTGCTGTTTCCCCATAATACATCTACTTTTACATTTTGCCTAATTTGAGCCAAGCAGTTCCACCTTTCGGCTCTCCTGTACCAGCCCAAAGCTGTAATATTTGGGTTTGCAGATATCACAGACATACTTTAAAAGAAAAAGTGGAAAGAAAATTGGCTTTGAAAACTACTCTATGGTAAGTAGGCTTTCTCTAAATTAGAGTAACAGGCGACGCAAAGTTCTCCTTTTCTGAAGAGAAAGGGCTTCCGAGTCTTTACAGTGCAGTGCCCCTCTTAAAAAATTATTTAGCAGAGAACCTTACTGTCTCTCAATTATTTCCACACCACTTAAAGGAAATTAATTGCAAATCATCTGCTAGTACATGCAAGAGTTATTTCTACAAAATGAAGCTATACTCACAACTAGTCTACCGTCTTTGCTATTGAGGGACAGCGGTCATTCAACCAGCATCAGAAACTACAAAAAATTTTTTAATCTATATTCTTTCATCTCTTCCTACTACAGTGTTTGGTTGCTGCTTTTTTTCAAAGTCAGAAACAACACTTGAGAAAATACGTTTCATCTTTCTAGAGGCAGAAATTGTAAAAAGGTTTCTTGGATTAAGTTCACCTTCTTTGCACAACCAATGCACTTCTACCAAGGATTAATCATGTTGATTGAGTACACATAAGGTCATCAGGAAACTTAGCGATAAAGGCTTTCCCAAAAACGCTCAGGCAAAAACTTCTCTGCCTTTTAATCCATATACAGGTTACTTTGTCCAAGTAGCTTTTATCTCATCTCTTTCACACAGAGAGAGGTAACTCAATATTCAATTTATGAATGTTGAACCAAGCTTATTCCATCACAGTCCTCAATGTGTAGAACAAGTTTATGAAAAAGGTATGGGAAAAGTCTCAGCTATCCTCTCACGATTTAATGTGTGCCCCTACTCTGCCAAGCCATGAAAAGACGGCATCATGGCTCCACCATTCATCACAACCGGACTTCCCAAGAGGAATCTGTCCAGGCTATGAGGAACGCTTCTTCCCAAAAACATTAACTCTGCCTTGATGCAGATACAAAGTGGTTCCTTTCCAGCCGTCCTTGATGACTTGCCCATCCCATGAGCTCATCTGCCCGCTTCCAATATCTACAACTAGCCAGACTGCCAGGGACTCGCACACAATACCCAAGCATGATGTACCAAACCGGGTAATGACAGAGGTGGGACAGCAGCAGTTGCTCCTTCCAAACCATGTCACAGCTACTGTACTAACAGGAATCAGTGTTTTTATTTGTCGCTCATACTAGTTGAAGGGATCAGTAACGCACAGGTGCACTTTCCTTCTTAAACCTCTTGACATTTCTACAGCAGAAAAGGGCTTTTTTAGAGCAGGAAAGACAAAGCTAACGCTACATATACACAGATAATGACTGGTGCTTTTGAAGTCACATTACCCTGCAAACCACAATGAAATTAAAAACTGACACTGCAAATTTTCTCTCTCCTCCGTTAAAAAAGGCACTAATAATTAACTATGTGGCTCTCAATTAAGCCAGCTCAATTTCTTTCACTGCTGGCAGCACTGTCCAAAAGCACTGCAGATATTCACGTAACTAACGACAGATAAGACATAACACGATCCCAGCCTCCCATAATTTGGAACCTGAATCCGAGAGAGATGACAGCAGTGTTATCCGCAGTCAGGACCGTGTAAGAAAGATGCTGCAGAAAAGGCAAAATTACTGTGGGCTCCATGAGTGTGAGGGGGTTGCCCTCAAACTGCCAGTTAAAAACTGTGGGAATAAAGGGGAATTTGTGAAGCATGGGAAGAAACCTTGGAGGATTACACTCGAGTGCCAAAGCACAGGGAGTGGCATGCAAGAGATCCAGGAACAGATGATAAAGAAGTGTATGAGATGCCTTAAAAGGCACTGGAATTTCTTATGTTTTCCCCTAATTCTTGCCCATTGATTCTTTGTTGCTCGTGTACAATTAAGGCTGATATCAAAGTCACTGTTACTCTTGACAGTTAACTTTGGTAGGTGGACCTGGTTGGCCAAAGCTTGCATAAACCACAGGCAAATATGTGCTTCAGTACACAGCATATGTACTCATTAAGAGACTTTTTCAAGCCCCTCGACGCCAGATGTGCTCACGGACTGGCGCAGGGAACTCCACTAAGCCCAGAACTATCCTTCTCAAA